AGCTAGGCCTAACTATTCAACACATTCTACTACGATAAAATCCTTTTGAGGCAATGGGGTGACTTGAGTTGGCATTCTGATGATTCCCATATATCTATCGTAACCTACTTGGCAATGATAGGACAAAATCCAACCAACCCAGAACTTCTGAATTCACTGGGAGGTTCTGGAGGCCCGAACTGGTGCCAAACTAGAATTGTTACGGTTAGCCCCGCCTACACTCTGGCCTGTGGGTAAGGCTTGGCACCAGTTCGAGGCTCCAGAGCCTCTCAGTGACTTCACTAGAGTTCCGGGTTTATCTTGAGATGATTTCGGGGCTTTAGTGTCCCCGCGGCCCGGTCCTCGACTAGGCCTCCACCCCCAGGAAGCAGCCCGTGACAGCTGACTAACACCCAGGTACCTATTTTACTGCTAGGTAACAGGGGCATAGGGTGAAAGAAACTCTGCCCATTGTTTCTCGCCGGCGCCCGGGATCGAACCCGGGACCACAGGATCACAAGCCCAGTGTGCTGTCCGCTCGGCCGACCGGCTCCCCGGGTTGGTTGGACTGTTGTCCTATCGTTGCATCTGGGAATCACCAGAACGCTGGCTCATGTCACTCCATTGGCCCAAAATTATTTTCCGATTGATATATGACACCATTGTGATTTCTTTGTGACATTCTAATACGCGTATTAACTTATATATGAGAAAATACAAATTTTGAATACGCAGTACGTTTAAATTGATGAATGCGTCTTCTGGGTCGACCGCTGCTTGGACGAGCCTAGACGGTTGACAAGACATTACTCTGGCTCAAAATTCGTCTACATAAAATTTTCAGGAACAATGGGGGTAGTTAGTCCCCTTGGCAAACTACCCATTTCCTGCACCCGCCGAGGCCACTAAGAGGTGGTGGCCCTCAGGGTTTACTGTCCCTGTCGAGGTCACTAAGAGATAGTGGCCCTCAGGGCTTCTTGTCCCTAGTTGAGGCCACTAGAGAAGGTGACCGTCTCAAAGCTCTCAAGATGTTCTCTCTGGAAAGGAGACGAGAGGGATATCAAATAATATATACATGGAAGATACTGGAGGGCCGGGTCCCAAATTTACAAAGTACAATAACAACATACTGGACAGAAAGATACGGAAGGAAATGCAGAATAGAACCAGTGAGGAGTAGAGGTGCCATAGGCACAATCAGAGAACACTGTCTGAGCATTAGAGGTCCACAGCTGTTGAATAATCTCCCAGCAAGCATTGGAAATATTGCCGGAACAAAAGTTAACTTCTTCTATAACCAATTAGATAAGTTCTTGCAAGAAGTGCTGGACGAACCAGACTATGGTGGATATGTGGGCCTACGAGCCTCTCCAAGCAACAGCCTGTTGGCCTGTTGGAGAGCGTGCAGAGATCCTTTACTGCTAGAATCCACTCAGTAAAACATTTAAACTACTGGGACCGACTAAAGAGCCTAAATCTGTATTCCCTTGAGTGCAGGCGGGAGAGATACATAATAATCTATACGTGGAAAATATTTGAGGGGCTGGTCCCAAACTTGCACACAGAAATAACATCACATGAGACCAGAAGACATGGCAGGATGTGCAGAATACCCCCGTTGAAAAGCAGAGGTGCAATAGGTACTCTGAGAGAGAACTCTATCAACATCAGAGGCCCGAGACTGTTCAACACGCTTCCGCTACACATAAGAGGCATAACTGGCCGACCCCTCACAGTGTTCAAGAGAGAACTTGACAAACACCTCCAAAGGATACCTGATCAACCAAGCTGTGACTCATACGTCAGGCTGCGAGCAGCCGCGTCCAACAGCCTGGTTGATCAGTCCAGCAACCAGGAGGCCTGGTCGACGACTGGGCCGCGGGGAAGCTAAGCCCCGGAAGCACCTCAAGGTAACCTCAAGGTAGGTAACCTAGTTATCACAAGTCGAGCCTGGCCTCAGGCCGGGCTCGGGGAGTAGAACTCCCGAGACCCTCTTCAGGTAAGATCCAGATCCTCAGAGCTTCCTGTCTCCGTCGAGGCCAGTGAAGATGGTGGCCCTCGGGGCTTCCTGTCCCCGCCGAGGCCACTAGAGTTAGTGGCCCTCAAGCAAATATATTCATTCATGGTAGCCTTCATTCATATTCATCCGTGGCAGCTATAACTGGATATAAACCGTCATGAGCGTCTGCATTTATTATATATATATATATATATATATATATATATATATATATATATATATATAGAGAGAGAGAGAGAGAGAGAGAGAGAGAGAGAGAGAGAGAGATGTAGGCATAGTACTAGCTAGGCCTCAAGTAGGCTTCTGTATACTGATATAGTAGCAGACACACATGATCTGTGGCAACAGTTGTTTAGACAGGCTCCCTTTCCTGATCAATTATCCAATTACAGAGCGGTGCAGCTGTAACCACGACGTTCTCACCGCGGTCTGAATCACCATCACCCACAATTACAATTGCACAACTTAAACCATACACAGGTTTTGTTGTCACTCACTGTTTAAAGAATTACTAGGGGTGGTTGGTAGGCCGGGGCAGATTACATGATTATTACATGATGTACCTGTAAACATTTGTTTATATTTGCTAGAAATTACCTACTTAAAATTATCTGTTAGATTAAGGACCTGCCCGAAACACTGTGCATACTAGTGGCTTTACAAGAATGTCAAAACATCACTGCTGTATGTACTCTCATAAACCCAATGTACCTTCTTGTATATAATATTATATATATAATATATATATACATATATATATACACACATATATATATATACATATATATACATATATATATATATATACATATATATATATATATATACATATATATATATATATATATACATATATATATATATATATACATATATATATATATATACATATATATATATATATACATATATATATATATATATATATATATATATATATATATACATATATATATATATATACATATATATATATATATACATATATATATATATATATACATATATATATATATACATATATATATATATATATACATATATATATATATATATATACATATATATATATATATACATATATATATATATATATATATATATATATATATATATATATATATATATATATATATATATATATATATATATATATATATATATATATATATATATATATATATATATATATATATATATACATATATATATATATATATATATACATATATATATATACATATATATATATACATATATATATATACATATATATATATACATATATATATATACATACATATATATACATATATATATATACATATATATATATACATATATATATATACATACATATATATACATATATATATATACATACATATATATACATACATATATATATATATATATATATATATATATATATACATATATATATATACATATACATATATACATATATATATATATATATACATATATATATATACATATACATATATACATATATATATATATACATATATATATACATATACATATATACATATATATATATATACATATATATATATACATATACATATATACATATATATATATATATATATATATATATATATATATATATATATATATATATATATATATATATATATATATATACATATATATACATACATATATACATATATATACATACATATACATATATATACATATATATACATATATATACATATATATATATATATATATATATATATATATATATATATATATATATATAACTGAAAACTCACACCCCAGAAGTGACTCGAACCCATACTCCCAGAAGCAACGCAACTGGTATGTACAAGACGCCTTAATCCACTTGACCATCACGACCGGACATAATGAGGTGATAGCCGAGGCTATTTGAACCACCCCACCGCCGGCACTCGGATAGTAATCTTGGGCATAGCCTTTTACCAAATCACCTCATTCTTTGGGGCACACGTGAGGAACACAAATGCGAACAAGCCTGAATGGTCCCCAGGACAATATGCAACTGAAAACTCACACCCCAGAAGTGACTCGAACCCATACTCCCAGAAGCAACGCAACTGGTATGTACAAGACGCCTTAATCCACTTGTCAAGTGGATTAAGGCGTCTTGTACATACCAGTTGCGTTGCTTCTGGGAGTATGGGTTCGAGTCACTTCTGGGGTGTGAGTTTTCAGTTGCATATTGTCCTGGGGACCATTCAGGCTTGTTCGCATATATATATATATATATATATATATACATACATATATATATATATATATATATATATATATATATATATATATATATATATATATATATATATATATATATATATATATATATATATCAATCAGTGATGGAGATGTTTTCATTTTGATGAGGTTGGGTCTTATTACCGGCCCCAAATGCAGTCTTTATATTTACCTGAATTTACCTGAGAGCCGCTAACACTAGTGGCCTCGACGAGGACAGGAAACCGGCGGCTTGTCGATGGTCCCCACACTATTTGCCTAGAAGAAATATACAAGATATTGTCTCTCCTTACGCATAGGTATAATTAAGCAGCAACAAGTTTAAACCAAGTATCGTGTTATTTAATCAATACTACTCACGTGATATACAGGTGAGGGGGAGATATATAGGGGAAAATATATATAAATCCCCTATATATATACAGGTATATATATATAAACTGTATATTTTCCCCGCTTCACGCATTAGTGCAATGAAACGACAGCAACTTTAACCCATGCACAGACTTATTTAACCACCAGACGTACAAGTGAGGAGGGAGGGAGAGATATAAAGATGAGGGAGAAGTTAGTTAGTTCATTAATTATTCACCCCATACCCGAAAAAGGGCTATATAAATGGAGCAGCCTGGTCCCTGGAGAGGGGCTAGGAGGAGGAGGGGGAAGTGAGGGGTGGACGGCGATGCTCGTCTGTCCACAGTGTCCCCCCCCACCCCCAGCTCTGCTGAGGTTGTTATGGTGTGGCAGCTGGCATGAGCCCCCCACACTGACCCCCCTCCCCACCATAACCCTCGCCAGCTACCATGCACCATGACCTCGGGGATGGAGGCTATGAAGAAGAAGGTCTACCATGCGGCCAAGCTCGGCCTGTCCATCTCCCTCTACGCCCACTTGTCAGTTAAGCCCCAGGACGAGTGTGATGACCTACTGGGTCAGGTCAGTGCCTGGTATATTTTACCCGGGTTATTTCATCCTTTTCATGCCTTTTCGGAGATATAATTCACACAGTGGCGAAGCAGAATGATGGGATCAATATTGTCAATGTATAAGGGTGTTGGACTCATGGTAGTGAAAGTGCAGCAGTTTTCCCAGGGATAATAATAAAAAATAATTATTATAATTGTAGATGCTGTGATTATTATGGTCAACTGGGAGGGTCCAAGACCAGAGAAAAGCATTTGGTCTACTATGTCATCTCTACTTATTTTTTTTTTAACATCTAGCCTAACGTAATCTAATGTTACCTAATGTAATGCAGCCTAATGTAATGCAGCCCAGGCACTGAAACCTAATGCAATGTAACCTAACATGATTGCAGCCTAACGTAATGGGCTATGTGTTTACTTAGATCCATTGTGAAGCAAAACTTTCCGAACATAGCACTAAGCTATGTGTGATTAGGGCTAGGTTACAACCTCACATGGCGCAATGTTTTTCTGGGCGAATTGGGTCAGGTTGTATGACATTACATTAGTTGCTTGTTGAAAATGGGAACTCGGTGATCTGCTGTATGTTTCATTTTTTTTTTCTACTCGTCTACAATTCTCCGGTGACTATCTGTAATATTAAACTGGCTATCACTGCTTGTATACCCTAGGCAATTTGACCATTCCTGGGCCCAACAACTTGGGGTGGACGGTAGAGGGTCGGTCTTGCTTCATGCAGGTCGACGTTCAATCCCCAACCATCCAAGTAGTTGGGCACCATTCCTTTCCCCCGTCCCAACCCAAATCCTTATCCTGACCCCTTCCCAGTGCTATATAGTTGTAATGGGTTGGCACTTTCTCCTGGTAGTTCCTTCCCTTGACCAGTCTGGCACTGAACATTAATATAAAGTTTAAATTCTCATTAAAGCATTTTGATTATTCACTTTAGCATTAAATCAGCATGATCCATTATTATACAGTATATGTTAAAAATATACTTATTTATTCTCCCACATCAATATAGCATTATACATATTGCATCTATTAATTTTATCAATCATTAATGCATAAATTTAATTCTGTATTAGTGCATTTGAAATGTACTGCACTTGCAACTTTGAAGATGTTAACTTTCGTCCATAACTGAAATATTTCAATTATTATCTTGACCAATTTTGCTATTAGTACTGTATTATCATCACAAACCTTTTTATTGGTTCTGTATTGTATTTTTGCTTTATGATATACAATATTAATGTATGTACTGTATTCTATTTCTCATCGTCTTGTAACAGCTTAGGCTACATTGCATTCATTTGTTAGTCAATGTTATATAGGGTATCGTAGCACTCTACAATAATATATTATTATTAAAGTTGATATAATGTAATAATATCAACTATAATATAATTGATATTGTTATATATTATTATAGGCTTCATTCTCGACTCAAAGTTGCTAATTATTATCGGCCTCACTTAGCCAGTAACCGGGTTTTTTTTACTTATCAAACTGTATATAGAGCCTTAGTGCCTCTTCTTACTCGATCCCACGCCGAGTCATAGGCGAGTTATTAAGAACTGCCAGTAATAATCAATCTAAAGGGAAAGGGGGATAAACAACACTAAACAGAACCATCAAGTATACTTCTTAACTATATATACACATGTGTACATAACATAACACTGCAGGCGTCACTTTCCCACAAGACACTATAAAACTTTGCAATCTTCTTTCCCGGCGAGTTCACTTCTATCTTTTATCGTATACCGCTCAAGGGTTCCCTCCCCGAGTCTGTCGTCTATGGTCCTCGTGCCGCCAAGTTCACTTTTCTCGGTAAATCACGGGCCCATCCTACTCGGTATTGTCACGGTACCAAAACACCACTTTTGGTTTCCAGTACACACACTGGCAGGGGTCTCCAGCAAAGACTATACTTGACCACTATGACAAAATCATCGAGGCATTGGAAGAAAAACAGAATGCAGATGTGGTATACACGGACTTCGCAAAGTCATTTGATAAATGTGACCACAGAGTGATGGCACAAATTGAGGTTCAATGGGAATAACTGGTAAAGTTGGATGGTGGATACTCAATTTTCTGTTGAATAGAATACAGAGTAACAGTCAACCATATAAAATTGAGCCCAAGTGCAGTTAAAAGCTCTGTACCTCAGGGTACAGTCCTTGCACCACTGCTTTTCCTTATTCATATATCAGATATAGACAAAAATACAAGTCACAGCTTCATAGCATCCTTTGCAGATGACAAATCGGAATGAAAGTTACCTCTGCTGAAGACATTGAAAAAACTACAAGCAGATATTAATAAAGTTTTGATTGGGCAGAAGAAAATAACACGATGTTTAACAAGGGTAAATTCCAGGTACTCAGGTACAGTAAAAATGAGGACATTAAACATAATACTGTGCAAGATACAAAACACCCAGATTTGTTCGTAGTAGGAAAGCAGCACGTTAAGGATTTGGGAATAATGATGTCTGATGATCTAACGTTTAGGGAGCATAACCACGCAAATATTGTGTTAACCAAAAAAATGATAGGATGGATTATGAGAACTTTTAACTTCAGGAATTTCATGATAATGGTTGTACTATTCAAATCATCTTTACTGTCCCATCTCAAGTACTAGTCAGCTCTCACTTCCCCCTTCAGAGCAGGAGAGATTTCTGAAATAGATGGAGTTCAGAGAACATATGTGGCATACATTAGATGTGATAAAGAACCTAAATTATTGGGATCGTCTCAAAGCTCTCCAAATGTAGTCACTAGAAAGGAGACGAGAGAGATGTAAATTAATATACACATGGAAAATACTGGAGGGCCAGGTCCCAAATCTACTCGGTAAAATAACTTACTGGAGTGAACGATATGGAAGAAGATGCAAAATAGAACTAGTGAAGAGCAGGGGTGCCATAAGCACAATCGGAGAACACTGTATAAACATTAGAGGTCCACGGTTGCTCAACATCCTCCAAGCGAGTACAAGAAATATTGCCGGAACAACCGTGGACATCTTTAAGAAAAAACTAGATTGTTTTCTTCTTGAAGTGCCAGACCAACCAGGCTGTGGTGGATATGTGGGTCTGCAGACCGCTCCAAGCAACAGCCTATTGGACCAAGCTCTCAAAAGTAAAGCTGGGCTTGGGGAGTGGAAGAACTCTTAGAACCCCATTAAGCAGGTATTAACCAGGTAAACATGCTGGCAGGTTTCCACATTCGCTTATAACAAGCCTTAACAGACAGACAGACCTTACATCACATAACTCAACTTGGCCATTTCTGGGTACATCAGTCCAATCAACAATATTGTACTTCACTAAGTATCGCAGACAAATCACAGTCTGCACAGGGTCGGCCACTTGCTCCCACTGGAACATATCTTGAGTTCAGGACTGCCCTGGGTGAACTGATTCCTGTTGACCAAGATACCACCCACATCAGTTCTGAGGAGTAAAAATGTGATTACTGTAATAAGAAAGAAACTACACAGGGGTATGTAATATTACAGCTGTCCACCGTGGAACAGAAAATGGGGATGGGTGCACTCAACAGATGGCGTTCTTTAGTGTTAATATACAGGCATACCTCAGTTTAAGAGTTTAATTGGTTCCTGGAGACGCCTTGTATTCCGAAAACTTGCATTCCGAAGCTAATTTCCCCATAAGAAATAAAGGGAAATGAATTAATCCGTTCCTGACTACCCCAAAAACCCCACATCAAACTAAATTTTTATACCTAATTCATCTAAATAAACCTACAAAACTATGTTCAAGTTATTACTTACCTTGCTGTTGAATGCTGTAGGCATATGGAAGATGGTGAGGAGGTGGGAGGAAGAGAGGAGTTACTGTTTGGAAGGGGAGTCCCCTTCTATTATCACATCAGGCAGTGAGGACTTCACTGGTATGCACACTCTGGCACATTTTGCCTGCATACCACTAGGACTTGCTTGTTTTACTAAGAATTTATCTAATGACACTTGTTTTTCCCTACATTTTAACACTTGTCTGTAGTAAGACATCACATTATCATTTAAAAGGTCAATGCACCGGCCTGCTACAGCTTTATCTGGGTGAGTTTTTTCAACAAAACTTTGCAGTTCTTCCCATACTTCACACATTTTCTTAATCAAGAAGGGACATCCTCTACTGCCTCTACTCACAGCTATTTTCTTAGGTTGAACCTTACCAATGGCTTTCTTGAGACCCATGGCAAGATATATAATGACAAATTTTATGCTCAAATGGCCAAAAAACCGATAAAAAACTGTAAATCCTTGTGAAGAATTCAGGTGGGATAGTCACTGGACACGAGACACTGGTAAACTGAGGCGCGATCGCCATGCCACCACGCGCCAGTCGGCCTGTACACGTATCAACAAACTCGCGTCCCGAGGTAACCCTCGCCTTCCGAGACATATTTTTGGAGTAAATCCTGCTCGTCTTCCGAAAAACTCGCATACAGGGACACTCGCATTCCGAGGTACCACTGTAGTGTTAATCATCAGTCCTGTAACAATATTGCCATCAATATGCGTGTCATGTATTTGCATTTTGCAGACTTTTTCTTCTGATATTACTATATCTCTAAATATGTTTATTTGCTCTTAAAACTGCAGTAAGCATGTGTTAAGGATACAAGTTACATCGTACACAAGACTATTTGTCAATGGATTTTGAAACCTACCTAACTTAACCTAGCTTAACTGAACTCAACCCAACCCAACTAAGCAAAATACAGCCTAACCTAGACTAATACATCCTAGCATCGCAACATACTTGGTTTTAACAAACAGAAAACGAGCTACGTGGAATCATCTCGTGTCCAAAACGACCATACCCCCTGTATTAATTGTCAATATATCTTTCTTAATCTGGAACTCCGTTTTCTGGTATCTTGCATTAATAGCACATGGAAATTTCTGGTTTTCCACCCGTTACCCTGAGGATGGCTCGCTAATTGGGGGAGGAGGGTTAACCCCCATTCTTTGTGAAGCCTTGGTGCAATTTGGCAGTAGACGATGCTTATTTTTTATCAAATAACACAAGAAATTAATTGGGTTCTTACATACATTGGTGCATTCCTATTAAAACACCATTGATAGTCGTATCTGAAAAAAAGGCATTTTATTACAGTACTGTAAATTAAATGTTCACTCTTTTGGTAGAAAGAATACCTTCAACCAGTCACTTGTGTGTTATATTTTGCAAATTCTTATCATATTAGTATTGTGTTAGGTTATGGTATTACATTAGTTATGTGTGTTATATTAATTTCAAGTACTTTCTTGCACTCGCACTACTGTACAAATTACAAAAAGTACTAAAGTTATCATAGGTACTATGCACTGCACTGTAATCACTGCTTGATGTAGTAGACATCCATCAGTCTCGGGAGACTATGGAGTTGCAGTGTGGTTGTTGATCTAATATGCCATATGTATCACTGCATGATACATATTGCATATTAGTCTACCATGCATTTAGTATGAGCCATGTATACTGGCATGCCATATCAAAGGAACTGTATCGGGTGCTTGCATATGCTATTAAGTTTAGCAGTCGCTGCTGATTGTCACCTTGCTTTCCCTGCATTTTGCTACACTGCATAATGTGCTGTTCATAGGCCATATCAACAATTATACAGTTTCAGCGCCTGGCATCGTTGGTTTCCATATAAGATTGATGACTTTTTACACACACAAACTATACAAGATTAAACTTTTACTGTACACATATAAACTATTTAAAATATGTAAATTAACAGGTTGTAGAAGAAGATGGCCAGAAGTGTACCCCGCTTATAATATCCGCTCGCAATGGTCACGAGAAAGCTGTTCGTACGCTTCTTAAGTTTAATCCAGATTTGGAACAAGAGGGAACCGTTAAGTTTGATGGATATGTTATTGAGGGCGCGAGTCCTTTGTGGTGTGCGGCTGGTAAGTACTATGTGTCATTTGGTTAAGCTGCCTTATTAATGAGCACACTCTTGATTACACGAAGATTCAAATTTGAATTTTATTTTAATATTTAGACATCGCTTGTAGATAATTTTTTGGCCACTTTGTATTCTGAAGCATAACCCTTATCATGTATATTTTTTATTAAGTGGCTTTGTGGTTTTGTTACAGATTTTGTTTTTAATTATAATACTTCCAGTTCCAGCAAAGGATGGGTTGGTAAATAACCCATTTTTTTTTTAAAACCCAACCTGTATGGATTGAGGCAGGTTGAATTTTTATCTAATCAATATATAGCAAAATTGCATGTTTAAATTTAAATAGATATAACTAAGTTGGCACATATTAAAGCAAAAATAATTTTTTGTAAACCTGCCTGGGTATTTTGTTTACTAACAAACTTGGCGCAGGTGGGTGAGTGGATAGCTTGTCATTCCAACCCTGGTGCCAGATCATCATCATTGCATTTCCCACTTTAATGGAATGGGGAGCCATCAACCCAGAACAAATACAAAAGCAATACAGTGTTCAGGGAAAACATGAAGACTACTTAAAGACATCCAACCATTCACATGTACAAAATTCTCAGAAACACAGAGAAATTTGAGAAGACAGACTGAACCACATAAGGGCGACTAGAGGACAGAGGTGAAAGTGTGCAGGAAAATGATAAACAAAGATGTTTTATTTTATTTAATTATTTTTGTTTTTATTTATTTATTATATATACAAGAGTTCTTACATTCTTGTAAAGCCACTAGCGCACACAGCATTTTGGGCAGGTCCTTAATACTAATTTTCCACGGAATACTACCCACTAAATCGTTTAACCAAGTATCCATTCACTACTGGGTGAACAGAGGCTACAATTAAGGATTGGCGACTGGTCAATCCTTCCCGGCCAGGATACAAACCCAGGCCAAAGTGCTTGCGAAGTGCCGGGCGAGTGTTTTACCACTGCTCCAAGGGATTGCATGTAGGACGTTATTGCTTCAGTGTGTGAGTGGTGAGCATATGGAATGAACAGAAGGAAGAGAAAGTAGAGTCTAATTTAGTCCACATCTTTAAAAATACATGTCATCATTGTTGAAAATACAGTATATAATTTTTTCTCCGCAAGATAAAGAAAAATATTTGAAAGGGATGAGGCAGACCTCAAGAGGTAATTCACCTAACCTGCATGACCTTTTTTACCTCAATGTGCAATGAGCACATTGAGGTAAAAACAATATACTGTACTGTAGCATCATGTGGACTCGGCATCATCGTAGTCCAACAAAACATGTCCTGTACCGCCAAGCCTAACCGCTTCTTACGACTATCTACCTTGAGATGTTTTTGAGGATCAGTAAACTTGAGGTCTCTGATCAAACCTCCTGCTTGGCAGACTGTTGGATGGCATTATAAGACTTAGAAACCACATATCAGTTGATCAGGCTGTCCTTAGTGCTTATCCAGTTCCTTCTGAGCACATGGGTTGGTTAGCACAGTAATTCCCTCTCTAGAGGGATGATTAAATACAGTATTCAATACACTTATTTTGTCGAGGTCATATAGAAGGGCATGACAGCCACTAGTTTCTTATCTTTCCCTAATAGCTTAGCATCATCAGCAAACATGTTCACACAATTCTGTACTCCATCTGGTAAATTGTTCATATAGACGATGAACATTACTGGCGCAAGAACTGAAGCCTGTGGTACTTGATTAGTAATATTTCTCCAGTCTGATACATTACCGGTGATTACAACCCTCATTTTTGTCTGCTAAAAATATTTCATTCATGTCAGATGAAATCTGACATGGCATCCCTGACAGATGAAATCTTCCTGTCACCCCTCCAGTGTGCTTGTTTCCAGAACAACCTCTTATGTGGGAATCTTGTCAAAAGCCTTTTATAGGTCCAGATAAATGCAGTCAACCCAACCTGTAAAAATCTCTGTGGCTGTATAATAGAAACTAAGTAGATTTGTTACATAGGATAGTTCAGGAACTATCCTGTGTAAGAATAATTCCGGGTCTATCCTTTACACAGGATATCTCTTACACTATCCTTATTATATGATTTGTCTCCAGGTGTTCTATTCATTTGGCTTTAATTATTTTTCTACTGTGTTTAACCACCACACTAGTCAGCGATATATCGAGAGGGGTTTTCTCTGCTACCATTTTTTTTTTTGAGTGGACCTATGCTTGCCTCTTTCCATATATCTGCTAAGATTTCTGTGCATAACGATGCCTAAAAAATAAATTGAAGTGGAATGCTGAGCTCGGAGTACATTTTCTCAGAACCCAAGGTGAAATTCCATCTGGGCCACCTGCCTTGTTTCTACCTAGTTCTTTGCGCATTTATTCCACTTCATCTTGACACCTCTATGTACTCGACTCTATTGTTCTCTGAAATCCCTTTTGTGTCTGGTTCTCCGAAAACCTCGTTTTGAATACCTGTAAACACTTTGGAAATGTTCAATTGACCTATGGGGCTTGGGGGGGCCCCCCCCATTGATCCCGCTTGAGTGTTTGTGTCCTCTTTGCGGAGCTTGTTGTTGCAAGGGTATGTGTATAATTTGGGGTCGGCTCCTCCCCGGGTCCGGGTTCCATTGGGTTTCACGGCTCCTTTCCGGAGGTTTTCTGCCTCTCGTATCTCACCTAAGGAGGTTCGGGAGGCACTTACTGCTTACCTCCTGCAAGATCCGGATACTGCCTCCGTCATATATCCGTCCTCGTTTGAGTTCAGTTTTTCTTCCCCGTATTGGGTGCATTTGGAGATTTTGGAGTCTTTCTGGCTGGCAGACTGCCCATTCTTTTCATTGGGGGCATGCTATGGGTTCTTTCGGACCCGCGTGCATGATTGGCGTGAAACCTCTACCATTCTTTAAGTTTACTTATGGGGTGGTCTTGAGCACCTTAATGCATGCTTGTTCACCCCTGTGCTTCCTTGGGATGTTGACCTTGTCCAGTTGCACATGCAGGTTCCCACCCTTCCGGTGTCTTTGGTAACTGAGGACTTGTGCGCCCGGGGGCATTTGGCTTTGCTTTTGCACTTCTTTTCCTTTCTTGAGTTGTCCTTGGACTGGCTTGAGAAGGACGTAGGGGCATTGAGTGCCGGGCCTTCGTCTGGTGTGCTGGCCTTGGCGGCTCAGGCGTCGGCTGCACTATTGTGGCTATTTACGCCGATTCTCAAGTAGGCGGTGTCTCTGTTGTTTGCTTCTCGCCTCACGTGCAGGCAGGCTATGCTCACTTCCTCTTTGGAATCTGCTTGGGACCTAGCTCTTAGGTTTTAGTCGGTGTTTTGTCTGTTGTTATTTGCAAAGTCTGCGATCATGCAGTTTCTGCAGGCGGCTTCGTCTAGTTGTTGTCCTATGTCAGGACACAGGACTTGAATGTGAAATATTCAAGAAATTGTTTATAACCTTGTTGGTTCTCCAGGGTGGCCATTCTCGGCCACCCCTTCTTGGCCGCTCGGGGTTCCTCCGGTTGGGGTGGGTCATTGGTGGCAGTTTCTGAGCCAATGTTGCCTTCCAAGCCGTCGTCGTCTGGTCGGCGAGATGATCGCTCTGTTCATCAGTCGGCTTCTCGTAAGGGGCTTCAGCCCTTTCACGGTTTGAAGGCTGGTGGGGCAGGCTTTTTCCCCTGAACTCCGTCAGGTCATTTGGGAGTGGGTACTTTTGGGTGTGGTCGAAATGACCCTGTCCCTCAGGTGGGTTTCCCACCTGTTTCTAATGCCGAAATGGGACTGCGTGGATCTGCAGTTCATTCTGGACTTGTCCCGTCTGAACCTCTTGATTCCTTGCCCCTCCTCTCGGATGACTACATTGCCTCCAGTCCGGCTTCTGTTGGAGCGGGTGCCTAGATGGTGTCCATGGACCTCTGGGATGTGTATTGGCACATTCCCATTCATCCGGGGTTCAGGGGATATCCCTGTTCAGAGGGATAGAGGGGAGGTAAGCAAGTCTAGGTGGTAGATATGCAGTGCAGATGATGAGGGGGCCGTGTGAGGTGGTGAATTCTATTGCAAGAAAGTGGTCATCTTCTATGAGGATGGGGTGGTAGGAGAGCCCTCTTTTTATTAAGATTGCCACCCCACTGTGCATCCCCCTGTTGACTTCCCTGGTGGAATATCCCCAAATAGAGATGTGCTGGTCCTGTCTAGCAGTTGTTTCATTGAGTAAGATAATATATGGGTTAAGCCTGGCCACCTCCAGGGTAAGGAGGTATCTGTTGTTGATGTAATGTCTGATGTTCACTTGAAGAATTGTGATCCCCATTATTGGTTATGAGTCGTATGTGTTTGTTTGGCTTGAGCGCCAGTATTGTTATCTTCGGTTTGGCTTCTGATATGTGTGGAGGTGGAGGATAAGTCTTTTGAGCCAGGGATCATGTTCCTGGTTCCGGCAGGGGATTGGGTGGGTGGGGTTTCCCACACGTTGCTGTACCATTGAGGGGTCTTCGTTGTCGCTGCTGTTCACGACGTCCACGTCTGTAGTGCTAGAGTCACTCATAGGTGGAGAATTAGGGGGGCTGCTTGCCCTTACCCCTGTCCTCAGGGGATGAGCTTCGGCTGTGAGTGTCGGTCCTGGGCCTCTTGAGACAGTGGTGTGTAGAACTGCAGGGTGTGGGACTGCGGTGTGTGAGGCGCATATTGCGTCTAGAGTTTCTTATGGCAAGGGAACTTGTGAGGGCTTTGAGTATAATCCTGTCTGGGACTACTGTAGGAATGGTGGACCTGGGTGTTTGCCAGATTGTCGAGGTGGAGTGGTCGGGATGGTTCTGGGAGTTTGGTGTCTCCTGGGCGTTGGTTGAGGCCTGGAGGCGTAAAGTACTTGGGTTGGGGTTGTTGGGTTGTGCTTGGGCCTGGCCGGCGGTTGTTGAGTTGTTAGGAGACAAGTAGGCAAGCGAGTCCTCGGACATGTGGACAAGCCATTGTCCTTCCTGAGTGAGTTCCAGAAACCCAGGAGCTGCACCGGGTGGTCTGGAAATTGGATTTGGGCAAATGTTAGGAGTTCTGCTCCTAAGCTGGACTTAGGATCGGGGTTTGGTGCGAGAAGGTTAGATGTTGAGGCCTGTTGTGTATGGTTCTGGGTTTGTCCTGGTATAACCGTGGGGTTATGGGGATGTTGGTTGCTTTGGTGTCCCCCTTGAGCGACCGACTTGGCCTGTTGTTAGTTGGGGACACCCCAGGGGTTTACTGGTGGAGGATGGGCAGGAATGGTAATTGCTGCTTGTTGACGGGCTGCTGTCGCCGTTTCTTGTAGTTGCTTGATTGCATCCTGTCTATGAGGACATAAATGAGAGATTGCAATGTGTGCACCATTGCATAGAGCACATTTGGGTGTTGGGCTTGTGCATTCCCTGTAGTTATGTTCCCCTGTACACCTGCTGCACTTGGGGGTTCCATTGTTGCGTGCACTGGAATAGTGGTCATACTGGAAGCATTTGAACCATTGTTTGAGCTTGTGAAACCTCTGTGGGCTGATTTGGTCAGGGCCAGACTTGATGCCAAATGAAGAAAAGCCTTGGGTGCAGACTCGTGCTGCTTGCTCCGGTGAAGCCAGAGTAAGCTTCAGTACTTGGTTGTTGTGAGGTTGAGTTATGAATCTGTGGGCCTGAATTATTTTAACATTCCCTGTTTTTTCTCTCAATTTCTGCAGATAATTCTTCAACTGAGTGATCCATGATGATGTCATGGATCCTATGTACAAAGATGGTGCGTTTAACTTGGAATTCGGCAGGGAAGTAGACAGTGATAGTTTGTTCAGACTGTCTGTCGAAAGGAGTTCTGGAAGGTCTGCATTGGATACCAACAAGATGGCTCCATTTGTTATTTTGTACACATTTTTGTAGGTAATCTGGGTGATCTCATGAATCACCTCAAGTAATTGGGCTGGAGAACGAACCCGGCCAGATTCGTCTGTGAATCTGACTTTGGTCGCCATAGCCTTGTGGGGCCAGGAAGCCTAGTCTAATCTATACTATGGTGGGGGGTTGTGATGTGTCTAGGTAGACTAAGTGGCTGGCGGGTGTTAGTTCGGCCGAGGTTGCTAACTTCTAGTTGTTAGGCAACTAGAGCTACTAGAACAGGTGGTAATTGAACCTATCGATAGCCTAAGCCTGCTACAAGGCTGTTAGTTGCCTGATCAAACCTCCGCGAGAATTTCAAGAACCCAGTTTTGGCTACTGCTCGGGAATGATCGTTTGGAATGGCGAAATACAAGAGGTAGAAACAGTTTAGAAAGACAGCCTTATTCACATCTTAATTCTATGATTAGTATGTTGTGCATTGTGTATTGTGTATTGTGTGTGTGTGTGTGTGTGTGTGTGTGTGTGTGTGTGTGTGTGTGTGTGTGTGTGTGTGTGTGTGTGTGGTGTGTTGTGGTACAGGCAGGGAGAGAATGAGGAGGAGGGGTAGGGAAGAGGGGGGAGGAGGTGAGGGGGGAAGGATGAGGATGGGTGGGTGGAGTTATTTTTATTAGGACATCATACTGCTGTAAGCGTCTGTAGAGCTTTGTTGGATCACAGTGCAATTGCCAAGGCCTCAGCGGTGCGTCTTGATGACGAGAGAACTTGTAGCTGACTGTTTGGGAGTAGGTGATTTGCCGGGAAGAAGGTGGGCGGACATGTTGAATGAGTGTGTGAGGGAGCAGGGGAAGAGTATGAACAACATACATAATATTGTAAGGAATATGGCTAAGTGGAAGTGATTTGTAAGAAGGGTGTACTCACTTTGTTGTGCTTGTGGGGGTTGAGCTTAGGCTCTTTGGTCCCACCTCTCGACTGTCAATCAACTGCTGTACAGATTCCTGAGCCTACTGGGCTCTTATCATATCTACATTTGAAACTATATATGGAGTCTACCTCCACCACATCACTGCCTAATGCATTCCATCTGTTAACTATTCTGACACTGAAAAAGTTCTTTCAAACATCCCTATGGCTCATTTGGGTACTCAGTTTCCACCTGTGTCCCCTTGTTTGCATACCACCTGTGTTAAACAGTTTATCTTAATCTACCCTGTCAATTCCTCTGAAAATTTTATAGGTAGATCATGTCTCCCACTAACTCTTCTATCTTCCACTATCGTGAAGCTTAGTTCCAGTAATCTTTCCTCAATTTCATACTTCTCAGCTTGGGAACTAGCCTGGTGGCATACCTCTGAACCTTTTCTAACTTTTTGTGTTTGACCAGAAGTGGACTCCAAACTGGAGCTGCATATTACAGTATTGGTCTGACATATGAGGTATACAAGGTTCTGAATGATTTCTTACACAAGTTTCTGAAGGCAGTTCTGATGTTCGCCAGCCTTGCATACACTGCTGATGTTATCCTTTTGATGTGGGCTTCAGGGGACAGGTCTGGTGTGATATCAACCCCAGACTGATTTGCAAGTGTAAGGGGGCCTCCCTGGAAACACAAACCAAAACTGTGTCTATTTTCTGCTTGTTACAACTTGTAATAAAGTTGTTACATCTTGGCTTAACGTGTTTATGACGTATTAGAACGTTGTTACAACTTGCTATATTGGTTGTTATAACTGGTTAGGAAGTGTTAAAACTTGCTCGAATGTTGTACCAACGTCGTAGTTTCGGTGTGTGTTTGGCAGCTGACAGCTGAGTGGACCGCTTCGGATTCGTAGTCCTGAGGTTCCGGGTTTGATCCCCGGTGAAGGCGGAAACAAATGGGCAGAGTTTCTTTCACCCTGATGCCCCTGTTACCTATCTTACCTAGCAGTAAATAGGTACCTGGGAGTTACAGCTGCTACGGGCTGCTTCCTGGGGGTGTATAACAAAAAGGAGGCCTGGTCGAGGACCGGGCCGTGGGGACGCTAAGCTCCAAAATCATCTCCAGATCACCTCAAGATAACTGTGAATGCATATACAGTGGAACCTCGAGTGACAAGCGACTCCAGTTACGAGCATTTCGAATAACAAGCAAGCCACTCGCAGAAAATTTGTCTCGAGTGACGAGCTTTCGCTCGATTAACGAGCAAACCACATGGTGGTGCTTAGCATTCCCGCTGGTTCTCGGACACCTCCGACGACAGTGTTGTTGTTTTGCAAGACGAGTGTTTCACATGACAAGCTCGGTGCCGGAATGGATTAAATTCGTTAATTGAGGCACCACTGTATATATGTAATGAACATGAAAATATATGAGGACACTGCACCCGGTCTCATGAAGCGGTGGGTTACTGCTAGAGTGTAGTAATTCTTGTTTATCGGAAGTATCATATGTTCTACTGTATTGTGAATGCTACAAACACTGTATAGAGTGGTATCTTGAATGTTTCATTATCTTCAAGCAATAACCTCCTTTTGCACTATTTCTCACCTTATTTTCTCTGGGCTGATGCATCTCCTCCCTCAATAAAAGTAAAAACAGGGTAATAATAATGTATGTAATGTTCTGTATGTATATTATTTTGTTTATTTTTGTTTGCTATTGAACATGTAATAGTTTGCTTTAATCATTTACAGGTGCGGGCCATTTGGGAGTAGTGAAAATGTTGGTGCGGGCCGGAGCGAATGTTAATCATCCAACAAAGACTAATTCAACGCCACTGCGTGCAGCGTGTTTTGATGGTCGTCTGGACATTGTCAAGTACCTTACCGACCACAGTGCCAATATTCATATAACAAACAAATACAATAACACTTGCCTTATGATTGCCGCATATAAAGGTCACGTAGATGTTGTACAATTTCTCTTAGAACTTGGTGCAAATCCCGATGAAAAAGCACACTGTGGAGCAACAGCTCTTCATTTTGCAGCTGAGTGTGGCCACGTGAAAATAGTGCAAGAACTCTTGGTTCACGGAGCAAAAATAACAAAAAATGAGCATGGTATGACTCCACTTATAGCTGCCGCAGAAAGAACACGAAGTGATGTGGTTGAGTATTTAATATCAAGACCTGATGTTACAAGGGAAGAAAAAGTTGATGCGTTGGAGCTACTTGGAGCTTCCTTTGCTAGTGACAAAGACAATTACAACATTGAACTTGCTTACAAGTTTATGCTGAAGGGAATGGTAGAAAGATACAGTGACCCAGATGCTATTATTTGTAAGTATTGCATTGGCAGTTTGTGGTAATATTTTGCTTTTCATTTACAAAGACAATAACTGTTTGTACAAAATAATAACCACATTATTAATAATTGAGAAGAATAGGAAACATGGTGCATTTATTTAGTTAAGATTATGAAAGAAATTTCTTAGCATGCATTTTTTTTTTTTTTTTTAAGATGCACGTTGATGATAAATTGCTTTGCATATTAAGAACAAGTGAAATAATGAAGTGAAGATGCCTTTGGAAGTGTTTCTTATGATCTACATGTTTTCTTTAGACATTTAGGAGCCTGGAATGAACATCACAATATGATTTATTATAATTATTACAGAATTATTTAAAGAAAAGATGAATCATTTAACCCTTGAAACTGCACACCCATTTAAAAGTCCTACCTCACAGTGTGCCTAAAAAAGTATATATATATTGAAAACCCACAAGGATCCAATCACACAATGATTATGGTTAGGAGGAAATTGTAGATATCGATTGGAGCACAGGAAAAAATTGCAGATAGCGATTGTAGCAATGTTTGGGTTAAAAAATACAGCAGTTGTTCAAGGTGTCATAAGTGAGAGGTTCATTGATGGATAAGGTTTTTTGTTACAGATTATCATGAAATTTGAAGATTTTTTTTTTTTAACAAATTGAGCTGCATGTGTGTATGTGTTGATTGTTTTATGTTACCTTACCTAGTGATTTATTGGGTTGAATGTACCTGAGGGCCACCAGCTCTAGTGACCTCGAGGATAGGAAGCCGAAGGCTTGTCGAAGGTTTCCCCCATTTGTCCTGAAGCAGGGTGTTAGTAAGAAGAGTTCCCTATACTTCTTGATAAACTTTTCCAAGTGTATTTTGATTTTTGAATATGTTTGAAAATCACTCGAGCTTCTCGTGGCCGGTTTATTGAATAGAAATTGGTATAGTTTTAAAAAATGTCCATCATGCCCTTGATTTTTCCCAGACACTGAATGGCACCAGCTAATCCAGATAGTTAGCATTGCACTGTGCAGTCAGGCATCATATCCAACAGGGTCAGGACTACAAGCTGTCAGTTGTCAGGGATTCTTGGTTTCGGTGATGTTTCCTATCACACCTGGATTGAGACAAAAAATAAGGGCTTCACTTGCTCACATAAGTTTCAAAGGTCGTCTTCGTATTAAATGCTTCCTGCTGCTCGTGTAGTGTTTGTACCCACATATTATATTTCTAATTCAATTTTGAAAGGACAGTACTGTACATGTATTTTTTGTTTTTGTATTCATTAATTAACACTTTCGTGCTATCAGGACTAACCGGTGAGTCCTGTTTCGTCTAACGCTACCGCATAGTGGACATAAAGTTATGTCCTCTTTTAAAATATTTGTATAAAATTCAATTTTTATCCGATTTACTTTGGGTTTGTTTCAAACTGCGCGCCATGAGGCTCTCTTTCTCACCACTAGGCTGCATGGTACAATAAGTTCATGAAAGGTGTGGATAACTTCGATCAAATGATATTATGTCCCAAACGGGTTGCAGGTGGGTGACTTTAGCCGTTTATACTGGTAATGCTTCCCCCATATCATGTATTATATGCATATGTCTGTTTAGGGAATTTTATTCCGATTAATGTACAACCAAAAATAACTGTGTGCAACAAGTATAAACTTGACAAACATAACAAAAGTAAAAACATTTCGTGTGTGTTTGACGCTCACTGATATGTTCCAGCGTTGTTTTATATTTGGCGCTATTCTAACTTACGATTTGTTGATCTTTTTTACCTATGGGCTCATAGAACATTCTATTGCGAACACATTGACACAAAAATGAATGACGTACATAGAAAATTAATGTCATGAGAGTGAAATAAGTATAAACTTTCAAAGCGCCGTGCGTCGTCCCGTCACCGATACCGGGTAACAATTTCACCACTTCCCACACTCTTGCGGGCGGGCCGCATCATTATTCTATGCTTATATTCATATCACCGTGTTGGGAATTTCATTGCGAGTCCATTGATACCAAAATTAACGCTGTAGAACAAGTGTGGAGGTGATAACAATCCCAAGAGTAAAAACATTTTGTTGCTGTTGGGCGCTCACGGCGAGTCACCTTCGTAGTTATTTATTTGGTGCTGGTATCCCTATACGTTTCGTGACTTTTTTACTGATGGTCTTCTAGAGAATTTTATTGCGAACACGTTGGTACCAAAATGAAATACGTAGCTCGAGAACTAAGGTCATGAGAGTAAAAAGAGTATACACATTTTTGTTTTTACGCTTACGTTTTACGCTTTTACGCTTACGCGGCAAAACGCAGTGAGCACTTACGGTTGGTTGACTGACCTTCGCGGAGAGCGCGAAAGTGTTAATTCTGTATTTCATACTTTTTTACACTGAAATGGTTAGGAATAGATTAAATAACTTTTTTTTTTTTCAAGCAGAAATCCAGGCTCACATTGTGCTCACTTCAAACAAGAGTCCAGTAAATGCCACTCTCAATCTTCTTATTGTCTCAAGTTTCTTTGGAGCTGACAGCATATTTCCTCTTTATTGTATTGCTGATTGGATCTTTTTCAACACAGTGTAGTGTCATGTGAGTGACATATTAAAGCCAGGGTTATGAGCAGAAACAATTTCTGCAACACACACACACAATAACATGACAAAAACCTCCCCTACACGGGGACATAATTTGCTTGACTGCCAACCTGAGTATAGTCTGTGTGTGGAGGAAAATATTTTCCCCGTTTCTCATCATCTCGTGCCTGCCCAGGTAGCTAGTTTCTTTAGAGGAGGAGGAGGAGGAGGAAGGTAAAATGAGAAGTTTTGTGTGACCCGACTGAACCAATCCAGTGGCAAGTCTCGTTGGATTAGGGTCTAATGGTCTTGATTCCCTTATGATTGATTCTTATGGATACTCCTAACTTGCACTTTTTCTGCCTCTTGGATATCTGATTGCATCTGTGGTCTTCCATATGTCTTCAACAGCTACTGTAGATGCTCCTAAACAATCTTCTTTTGTTGCATTAATATGTTCATTCAGAATTCCCTTTTGTAAGTCAGGGCAGTCATAATCTCAGCCACACTAAGTGAAATACAGCTTCAAAGTCTTCCATATTTGAGCCACAGACTGGCACCAAATATCTTAACTTTGCTCCACGTGACGAAACATTACTTGTCGATGACCTGCAAAGTCATCTCGAGTGGATTGCTTGGTGGATACTAATATCAAACACCATCACCATAGAGAAGAAAGTATGTGCTAGTAAGAGTCTTATCCATGTCTGCTTCCCAAGATCCGCTTTGTTTGCTATCTCTAATAACAGGAAGTTTGTGCACCCAGTACTCATTGCACAACTCGCTTATACAGTACTGTGAGCAGTAGCTAATTCTGCATCCTATATGTATCCTGTGAGTGGTGATTTATTATGCATCCCGTATTTATCGTGTGAGCTGTAATTTTTTGTATGCCTGATACTCATTCTGTGAATGGTGGTTTATTGTGCACTTTGTACTCATCCTGTCAGCTGTAAATTACTGTACACCCCCATAATTATTGTGAGTGGTAGTTCATTGTGCACCCCATATTCATCCTGCGAGCTGTAGTTTATTGTACGCCCCATACTCATCCTGTGAGTGGTGGTTTATTGTGCACCCCATACTCATCCTGTGAGTGGTGGTTTATTGTGCTCCCCATACTCATCCTGTGAGCAGTAGTTTATTGTGCTCCTCATACTCATCCTGTGAGTGGTAGTTTGTTGTGCACCCCATAAACATCCTGTGAGTGTTAGTTTGTTGTGCACCCCATACTCATCCTGTGAGTGGTAGTTTGTTATGCGCCCCATACTCCTGTGAGCGATAGTTGTGCACCCCCATACTCCTGTGAGCGGTAGTTTGTTGTGCATCTTATACTCATCCTGTGAACGGTAGTTTATTGTGCGCCTCATACTCATCCTGTGAGTGGTAGTATATTGTGCACCCTATGCTCACCCTGTGAAATGGTGGTATATTGTGCACCCCATACTCATCCTGTGAGTGGTAGTGTATTGTGCACCCCATACTCGCCCTGTGAGCGGTAGTATATTTTGCACCCCCTGTACTCACCCTGTGAGTGGTAGTATATTGTGCATCCTATGTGCACCCTGTGAGCAGTAGTATATTGTGCACCCTATTCTCACCCTGTGAGCGGCATTATATTGTGCACCCCATACTCATCTTGTGAGTGGTAGTGTCAAAGGATTACTGTTCTGAGGGATTCAAAGGTCTTAATCAGAAAGTGTTATATTAACTTATGACTTTTGTTCTTATATTTAATTCTAATGATATTGCTGGCAACAGAACCACTGTTTGCACTGCAACTGTGATGCATGACAATGCAACATTACATACTTGGGTAAAACATTTAAGTAATACTTACTGTACGTTGTTTCAACACTGTATTGTATTTTATAGGGTACAGAAGAACAGTACTGTATTGTAGTTTGTATGTTGAGTGAGAGTTGGCTCTGATTTTATGCTATACTGTTAATGTTTCGTATGTTTTCCTTTGTTTAGTAGATGCAGAAGGTGGTATACCTTGCGGTGATTCCGAAGATCAAGGTCCCTGCGGCCCAGTCTCTGACTGGGTAACAATTTCTGGTATTTTGTCTGTAGGGTCCTGTGGCATAATGGTTGACGTTCTTGGCTCACTGACCCAGGTTCAATCCCTGGGCAGGACATAAATGGTTGGGCACATTTCCTTTCACCTAATGCCTCTGTTCACCTAGGAATAAAATAGAAAGTCAACTGTTGTGGGTTGCTTTCTGGGGAAGGGGAAATTTGTTAAGTCTAAATTAGAGGCTTCATGTCCCCAACACCAGGAATTTAACACAGAAATCACAATAGCATGATGCATCAAATGAACAAATCCACAAGGGCCGTGACGAGGATCACGGCCCTTGTGGATTTGTTCACCAGGAATTAAAGATTAGTTTGGGCTGGATGGTAGAACATAGATTAGCTTGGACTGA